TATTTATTTATTTCTCTATCTGTCTCTCTGTTTATCTGTTTATTTATCTAGCTTCTTATCTGTAAATTTGAAAATTAAATTATTTTGTAAAATATTTTTATTTTTTAAAATTAAGAAGATTAAAAATAAAATAATTCTGTGAAATTTCCTCAATATTTTTGTGAAATTTCCTTCAAAAATGGAAAATTGAGTATAGCGTTGATAGTCTCGTGCCAATATATTTTGCGATTTTTCCATTCCACCTGTCTAAAATATTGTATCTGTTACGAAAAATTGATATCAGATTATATGAAGTACTATACCTATTACACAAAATTATCTTAGTAAACCTACAGATTTGATGTTCCAAAATATAATCCCTCTCAGGAAATCAGCGGCCTGACCTCCTAATATTTATTATAAATATATTTTTTATACTGCATCTGCCACGGAATATATATCATTTGCAGATCTTTTTCAAATATCCCATATCTGCCATCGTTTTTGGAAATATGACGAAACCCTTATGTTTTGCACACTTTTGACAAGGTACATAACCCCTTGTGTCTGCCACGCGAAACGAGCTCTGAATATCCAAAAGTGGTCCGAACGTGGTGTATTTGATATATTTTGAGTTCTAAATGTATTTCGCGGCCATAATGGTGTGTGCTTTCTCGACATCGTAATTTCCAAAAGTGGTCTGAAAATAACATAATTTATTTATTTTAATTTCGAAATTTTTTCGTACCACAATAATGTGTATTTTTTCGACATTTCAAGTGCCAAAAGTAGTCCGCGCGTTGTGTGTTTTGGGTATTTTAACTTGGAAATGTTCTTCGTGCCTTAACGACGTAGACTTTACTTCCAAAAGTGGTCCGAACATGATGTGTTTTGTACATTTTGATTTAGAAATCTGTTTCGCGTCACAGCGGCGTATATTTTTTTGACATCTCAAGTGCCAAAAACAGTCCACACGTGGGGTATTTTATATATTTTGACTTGGAAATATATTTCGCACCACAACGACGTGTAGTTTACTTCCAAAAGTGGTCCGAATATGATATATTTTGGAGATTTTGATTTAAAAATCTGCTTCGCGGCACAACAATGTGAAATTTTTTATCTTTCATTTCATCTGGCCAAATGATTCCGCATCCGCCGTTTTAACGAGCCTACTTTTCAACCCTCCGGAGCCCAAAAAAATTGGAAAACCACAATTTTTCGTGATTTTCCTGCCTTTTCACACATCTATATTTTCTTTCTTCTAATTCTTTCTCTTCGCTGATCTTCTTTCTTCTAATCTTTTTCTTCTTTCTTCCTCTTCCCTACTCTGCTTTTCATCTATCCATATTACAAAATTTCCCAAATCTTTTCCAGAACCTTTCCCGGACCCTTATTAAACCTAATTTAAATCTAAATTAAAACCTCCGAAATCTTCTCCGAATTTTTATTAAATTTAAAACCTCCCAGATCTTTAGCAAAACCATTTCCAAATTCTTTACCGAAACCTTATTAAATCCCTAACTTTACACCAAAACCTCCCAAAACCTTATTCGAAATGTTTATCGAAATTAAATTATATTAAATCTATTCTAATTTTATACCAAAGCCTCCTTAACCAAAATTCTATTGGCTCTATATCAAAATCTTCCCAACATTTTCCAGAACCTTTTCCAAAACTTAATTTATCTCT